GTAAATACAGCAGCGTTGTTATTGTTTGTGGTTTGTACAGATACACCGTAGAGCTCGGGTTACGATACAGGGTTACTTCAAATGAATAATAATGAAAGAGCATTAAATCATAATCATTAAATCATTGTAATTTAACAAGAAAAAGTTAAATGATTGTAAATGTAGAACTTTATCAAACTACTTGTTTGTGAGTTAACACATTTCTTTTGTGTTTGGTGGTCTACTGGTTTGGCCCAACAGTTACTGTTCAGATTAAAGACTGACGAGTGTGTTGCAGCTTTTATATCAAATAAAGTTCCCATAGCTGTAGAGAAGCTGGGGAACGGGTCTGTAGCGGTCTGTACTGGTCCGTTATGGTCTGTAATAGTCTGTTGTGGTCCGTGGCGGTCTGTACCGTCTGTTTTAACGCTGCCTCGTGTGTGTCCAGGACCAGGCGGACGGTCTAGGGAAGAGGAAGCTGGATAACGGGGAGGTGGGTCGATGGAAGCTCACTGATGACCCTCCCCCTAAAAAGAAAGCCCCTCCCTCCCTGGAGGAGGGGGGGAGGGCGGAGGGGGGACACAAGAGGAAGAAGGAGAAGGAGCTTCCTCAGGACAGCGGACCCAAGAAGAAGGTGAGTGTTAACCAATCACAGAGCAGATCATTATGACGTCATAGTTATTGAACAAGATGACTCACTGAGTCTGTCTCGTAAAGGATTTATGACACGATGAAGCACAATAATGTAATAAAGCTTCATCTTTATCACGTTAAACCCGTCTCCTGCTCTGTCTCACTGTCTGTCTCCTCTTCCTGTCTCTCTCTCAGATGAAGGGAGCCCATGAAAAACGCCTCAAAAAGGCACGAAGAAGTTGTTGTTGTTGTTGTTATGGTCATTATTGGTGTCAATGATATTGTTATCATGAATAACATAAATTATTAGTATTATTGCAATGAAGAGAAGACTTAATGATTTTATTGTTTCGTTCTCTCATCAGAAACCCAAACAGGAGGTGGTGGAGTCCAACGGTCCCACCTCCTCAGTTGGAGGAGGAGCAGGAGGACTGCAGGGCTCCTCCTCCTCATCTTCTTCTCAGCCTGGAGGAGGAGGGACGTCCAGTGCAGACCAGCGCTCCCACCACAGGGAGAAACTGGAGCGCTTCAAGAGGATGTGTCTTCTGGAGCGACGGCCAGAGTCGTCGTCCTCCTCCTCCTCCAGCTCAGAGTCGGACTCAGAGTCGGACTCAGACGACTCCCTCAGGGGGGGGGAGGCAGGAGGAGGCTCCTCCCCTTCCTCCTCCTCCCCTGCCCCGCCTCCTCCCGTCATCTACGGCAGTGGTGGGGGGGGGCGGACGGAGCGAGAGAGGAGTCGATGTGAGAGGGAGAGAGAGAGGGAGAGGGAGAGACGTCTGGCTGAGCTGGGCTTCAGCGCCAGCGAGGACTCAGAGGGGGAGGGGGGGAGGGGGGAGGAGGCGCTCCGGGAGGGGGAGCGGGGGGGGAGGAGAAGGCTCGACGGAGAGGGGGAGGAGCTACAGGAGGAGAGGCGGGTCTACCTCCACGAGGACGTAAAGGAGGCCTACTGGACGGAGAGGAGGACACGCCCACCTCTGACAGGACCAGGAAGAACTCACCCCTCTCCTCCAATCAGATGCCTCCGTCCTCGCAGCACGACGGCTTCACGGGGAAGCAGCGCAGCAACGGGACGGAGGCTCGAAACGGGAGGACACGAGGAGGGGCGGGAGGGGGAAGGGAGGGGGGGGAGAAGGAGAACGCCAGCGGAGTTCTGACCAATCACAGACACAGTGGGGGGGCCAAAGGCAGCGGGAGCCGTGGCAACAAGATCCGCAGCAACAGTAAGAACCAGACGTCCAGAAACGCCTCCTCCTCTAACGGGGGAGGGGGGGGGGGGGCAGCCTGATGATGTCATCAATGGCGGCATCCCCCTGCTCCCAGGTGTCCCGCCTCGCCCCGCGCTCTCAGATGATGAAGCGCAGCCCCCCCGCCGTCCCCTCACCCCCCCGACCCGTTCAGATGGAGAGGCACCTGGTGCGACCCCCCCCCACCTGCCCCGAGCCCAGCTGCCTGCCGCTGGACTCTGGCTCCTCCCACATCATGACGCGTGACGTCTGGCTCAGAGTCTTCACTCACCTGAGCCAGAGAGAGCTGTGTGTCTGCATGAGGGTGTGTCGCACCTGGAGCCGCTGGTGAGTGACCTCACACAGACCTCATACTGAGACCTCACAGTGACCTCACATCTTCAACAGACCACATGTCAGTGTCTCGTCTCGTTTCTTCTTCAGGTGTTGTGATAAATGGTTGTGGACTCAGATCGATCTTAGCCGGCAGCGCTCCATCACCCCCCCCATGCTGAGTGGTATCATCCGCCGGCAGCCCGTCTCCCTGAACCTGGGTTATACCAACATCTCCAAGAAACAGCTCATGTGGCTCATCAACCGCTTACCAGGTGACTCCATGTCTGTCTGTCTGTCTCTCCTCCCTCCCCGTCTGTCTGTCTGTCTCT